TGTTTGTCTACAGGTAGAGGGCTTGCGACGAGCTGATCACTCGCCCAAGGAGTCCTATCGTATGTGTAAGATCTAGAAAAACCGAAGTGAACGGAGAAGTTCATGGAGGTAGGCCTGGGCCCACTGGGGCTGTAGTGCCAAGAAAAAAAAATCCCTATTTAACGAAACAACTCGGGAATCCTATGCATAATTGGGGAGACGATGAAGGCAAATTTGTCCCTATGTTTAATTAATCAGGCACCTCGAAATGAACACAGATGGGAGAGTGGAGGTACAGCTCCACCATTCTTGATCTTGACGCAAGGTGGAGATGAGTGGTCACCTTCAAGTCCCAGTCGCTTTACCCCTGGGAAACGAGCCCCCGGTACCGATTGGATTAGGGTCTGGACGTTGTGGTGTAGAGATAAATCTCTTGTCCCTGTCAAGAATCGTACCCCGTCGCTATACCGACTGAGCTCTCCCGGCTCCAAATGGAGACATACGTGTATTATTGTGGATTTAGTATTGAAGACGAGAAGAGAAATTACATACTTGAACTTAGGACACAGTGGCATGATTCTGTGAACACGACGATGAACCTTCAGGTTTCATAATGACAGATGATTTCCTGACCAGCTAAACGACTGTTGATTGTTGAAGGAAGGCGCAGGACCGTGGAATCTGTCCCAATATAGACTACGAAGAGCGAATGTTGAATCGTTAGGAAGGTTAGGAAACTGGCCATTAGGCGAAGTACGATCTTCTTGCTGTTAGTAAAACTTTGATTTGTGGTGGACAAAGTGGCGCTGGGGCGGGTTTTTTCCGAGTACTTCCGTTTCCCCTGCCAATCTTCATTCCACCAACTTCATCATCATAATCACGCGGGGCAGGCTACAATAGGCCAATCAGTGGCCGCCGTGCCGATTGGACCCAGTTGGACTCGACCCCCCCCCACCAAGCGAATTAAAAAAAAATTAGTCAAACTTTCTACCTTTCTCTTTTCTAAAAGATCTTAAATCTCTGAAGCCCTTTCTGCGTTTTAGAAATTTCTGAACCGTTCATCCCATCTGCATCTAGGTCTTATTCCTAATTTTAAGCCGGAAATAGTAACAATAAAAACATTTTTTGAAAGAATGATGGCTACGATTTCTCAAACGATAAAAATATACAGGTGACATAACAAATTTACATGTTTTGCATCTTTTACTTTCTTTCTACGTCGCCTTTTTATTCTTTGCCATATTTCCTTAATCCTTTTTGTCTTTATTTTCATTCCCGGCTTGTTTCGTTAATTTCATCTGTCCGTCCCTTTTTCTCGTCAATCCTAAACATTCGTGCATTCTTATGTACGAATGTTTAGGATTGACGAGAAAAAGGGACGGACAGATGAAATTAACGAAAAAAGCCGGGAATGAAAATAAAGACAAAAAGGATTAAGGAAATATGGCAAAGAATAAAAAGGCGACGTAGAAAGAAAGTAAAAGATGCAAAACATGTAAATTTGTTATGTCACCTGTATATTTTTATCGTTTGAGAAATCGTAGCCATCATTCTTTCAAAAAATGTTTTTATTGTTACTATTTCCGGCTTAAAATTAGGAATAAGACCTAGATGCAGATGGGATGAACGGTTCAGAAATTTCTAAAACGCAGAAAGGGCTTCAGAGATTTAAGATCTTTTAGAAAAGAGAAAGGTAGAAAGTTTGAATATTTTTTTTTTAATTCGCTTGGTGGGGGGGGGGGGCGAGTCCAACTGGGTCCAATCGGACCGGNCGGCACGGCGGCCACTGATTGGCCTATTGTAGCCTGCCCCGCGTGATTATGATGATGAAGTTGGTGGAATGAAGATTGGCAGGGGAAACGGAAGTACTCGGAAAAAACCCGCCCCAGCGCCACTTTGTCCACCACAAATCAAAGTTTTACTAACAGCAAGAAGATCGT